TTAGCAATAAAAGATTTGTGCTGATAGCCTGTGAGATACCTGACTGGAAAAAAACTCGCTTTCTTCCACGTCAAGCGGTACGTAGCCATTTTTCGTGAGCCAGTTAGTCATTTGCCATGGAATACGTCGCAGTGCTCGTTCCGCAAGCACCTTACCGAAATTAGCATCACCAGGAAATTTGTCTCGAAGTCTTGCTAATGACACAAACTGAAATAAACATACTTTAATAAGTTAATCGGGCCCACTCAAAGCAATTGAGAACAAAAGCTTTGGAAGAATTTACTCCGAAGAAACTTTTAAGGTTTTGTGAAAAAGCGAGCAAGAAAAGTTTTTTTAAACTATTTATTAGTGTCCTAAAAGCTGAAAATTACTAGCAGCAGTAAGTATAAACTGCTAAAAATATAACTGTTAAATAAGGGCAAATGAAAAAAAGATCGTTATCGCGCCAGTGATCTTAGAAAACAGATGCTGGTAGTTGCGTCGCTATCTCGAGCTACTAGTTTTAGCAGTCCCTTATCACACCTTTGTGTTCCATTAGCAACCCAGTTCATATACTCTTTCCAGGTCTTTTTTATTTTCATAGTTTTGGCTTTCCCTTTTTTATTTTCATAGTTTTAGGCGTTAATAACGCATTATTCGCAAGATTAAGCGTGAGTGTGATCAGATATTTGAACTCTCAGTGAGAGCTAGAAAGCTGAAAATTTTCTACTTGAAGTGCAACCTTCACGGCATTTTGCATCAAAACGCCTGAGCACATCCTTCTGTATTTAAACTGCAGTGAAATAGAACACACGCAAAGGAGCCAAAGCGGGGGGAGAGAAATTCAACTGCGTTTGACGAACTGACTCTATACCGGCAGGCGTAAAAAACTCTGCTTCAATTTTTGGCTTCAGCTCATCGCCGAGCTGTACGTCCGAAGGAGGTAGAATGAAATTTTTGGTGACACAGAGGTGAGAAAATCGTTGAACATGTTCTATCAGAGTCCCTTTTTTGTGTAGGTGATACTTTTTCTCTTAGTTTTTTACGCTACTCACTGGTTAGGAGGCCTGTGCTGTGGTAATTAAAGATTCGAAATTAAAATTTAGGCAGCAAAAAAGGTCAGAAGTTTATTTGTACTGATAGAGAAAAGAAAAATTGCAGAATGAGAGCTCTGGTGCACAAGACTGTCAAACAAAAGCTCTGAAACTGCATAACTTAAAAGATAAAAAATGACCAATTGAGAAACTGAAAATAAAAAAGAAATTATAGGAGTAAGAATCCGTGGCTAAACCTGTAACATATCACGTTCGGCTCGACGATTCTGATAGGAAAGGCGACCGGCGGAAAGACCAAGCCGTTCCATTTCTTCACATCCACTCTCGGTTGCCACAAACACTATTGAAACTGGTGTTCTCGATGCAAATATGGCCGCCTGAGATTAAACTTCTCAAACCATTACTACTAATAAATTCGGTAATTTAAAAAAACATGGTTCCAGAAAATTGTTGGTGGCTAACAACAAAAAGACTTGAAAGTAAATATAACTGAAACTGGTGCTCCTGAATTATTTGAGTTGCTGCCCTCCCACTCACCGTAGTTCTGAAATTGCGGCCGGCT